AGTGGTTTTATCAAAATCCAAACCTTTCCTATTGCATGTCAACTATTGAATTTCTATTGTGTGCTTTCGGCATAAAATTTATTATGTTAAGTAAAAATCTGACTAAAGGGTTACTCTGCATGCATCAGTTGAATGAGTTTGTGTGGGAATGCCTTCAGATTCGATTTAAATGGAATATGTTTCATGCTACATGTTGATTAAGAATATACAAATAGCCATTTTATGTTTCCGCTGTACAATATTTGAGTGAGACAACACTAGATCTAGTCAAATGAGGAACCTTCCATGTTGCATGCTTTATATATATATATATGGGAACTTGCTGTAGTGTGTCTAAAGTGCCATAAAATTTGAAGTGAATAATGGTGATTTAACATGGGTTGTGTGTCTCGGCTGTCTTTTTATTTGGGTAATATATCACATGTACTGGGCTGGACAGTATGTGGGAATTGTGCTTGGATTGTGTTTTAATTGAAATGCTTGCTGGGTAATACATTGCAATATTGCATGCACTTAGCTGGAATACCTTTGGGAAATTGGTTGGTTAGTGTTTAAAAAGTGTTCGAATTTAAGGCAACTTGGGATGGAAAGTGTGTTGGGTATTGAGTAATGTTTTGGTATTGAGTAATGTTTTATAAGTATGGAATAATGAGTCTTGGAAGTCATGAAAATACTTCTTATTTATGATTGTATGGCATTTCCTTGGGATTATATATAAATTATGAAAGTGATAACTACGCACGAGTGGTGTGGGACGTGTTAGTGTGATGTGATGTTGAAGAAACTCTAGATCTGGTTAAACCTTCAGTTTCGAAACATGTTTAAAAATTTGCAGTTTCACCCTTGGATGTGATTTCAAATACTATGTTGCATATAATGAGTTACAAGCAATTATGTGGTATGTCTTTAAATTTAAATATTATTTAAAATCATGATGAGATAATTTTGGTTCTAAAACCACCATACGAAGTACCCATCCCCTTGAGCAATGTAGGATTCTGCTGAGTATGACAGTTTTAGATTTTGGCTCTGCGCATGCGTATGACAGTTATCAATGCTCTATCTAGGCGTTGAGTGGTCTGCAAGGTATGACAGTTTTAGAGGCTCTGCCCGCGTGATGATAGATCTTGCTGGGTATGACATGTATGTCACTCGCTCTGCCTTCGTGCGGGACTCCCACCAGGTATGACAAATTTTCCTCAGGGTACTAGTTGTGGTGAGAGTTTCTAATACCAAATGTTGAGGTTTTATTCAAAATTCGATACAGTTAAAGGAAGTAAGTTAGAGTACGGTTCACTGAGTACATGATGGTTAGAAATAAATCACATATTGCATACGTGAATGGGGTGGTTGTTTCCATTGCATATTCATAGAATTATATTGTCGTCAGGATTTTGTATGTTATCATTATTTCTTTTTTTAAAGAACTTTTATAAACCTCCCCTTTCCCCCCACTCACTGAGTATTTCAGATCACTCTTTTTAAATGTTTCCCCCCCTCACTAGTATCTCTCGGAGATCGTGCCAAGCAGTGAGTCTCTGCTCAGGGTTGTGCCACGCATCGACATCTTTTTATGTGGGATTTATATTTATGTCGTATTGTATTTTGGACTTCCGCTTCAAAAACTCATGTTTCCCATCATGTATTTCCTTTATTTATGTTTTGAAATGTGTAGTATAAGTGGAAAAACCCGATACCACAAGTTTCCCTAAATCTTTTCTTTTGTAAAACGATCGATGGTGTATGTTTTTTTGAGATATTGGAAATAGAAATACTATGATGTTATTTAGGAAAAGCAGGTCATTTAACAGGTTTCACAGTTTTTCTACATGGCATGTCTCGGGTATCCGAGTCTTGTGGGAGCGCCCGGATTCTACAGGACAAGGGAATTCGGGACGGGTCGTGTCACAAACGATTTAGTCCAAAACTATAATCATTGTAAACGCTCTTAACACACGCCCTGGGGTGGGTTTTTCAAGTTTTGGCAAACCTTTGGGGTTAAAGTAATTAACATTTTCTTTGTTATACGCAAAAAATTATGATCGAGGGTAAACATGGTATTTAACCTCAACTTTGTGAATGATCAATTCTATTAACGTCTTACAAATGATCGAGGCTTTGTGTATATTGATACCTGAGGGGATATTCAGGTTTATTATCCCATAATTTTCATAGAGTTTATGTAGACATTTAGAAGTGATATAGTGTAGAGTCGTTGTGAGACATTTGAATTATGTGAGACAAATTTCCGAAGAGTAAACGACATTCACCCACCCAAGGTTTGGCAAATCTGCAAGTTCCCACTAATGATTTCATAAATTTTAGATTTTCACCCTTAAATTAATATAAAACTGTTTAATCTAACAATTAAAAGGGTAAAATTGTCATTTTAAAGATGAAAATTTTAAAATAACCCTTCACTTCTCAAATTCACCCCAACAGCGACTTCGGGCCATTCTAGCTTGTTCCCGATGCAATCGACCCCTCCTGACACCACCATTACAATCCCCTCAACCCCCACATCAAAACATCTAACCTCCCCACCTAATTGAACACCCCAATCACCGCTCGCCGCTCTTAGTTTTAGTCGCACATTTCATCCAAATTCCAACAAGTCCCAGCACCGGAAACCACCCCTGACACCATTAATAGCATCACCGACTTCCCCCTACCAAAACCCCCGACATCATTGATCGCAGCCGCCTCTCCCTTAGGTTTTTACATGTTGTCGCTCCTTTACAGCTAAATTCCGGTACCTCGCTGAGGTGCACTCCGGTGGAAAAGTTAAGGGTTTTAGTGAGGAGGATAAGGGGATGTTGATGGTGGTGTCGGGGAGGTCTAATGGTGCTAGAATTAGGCCGGATTTTTGGCTTGGCCGGGATCTCCTGTGGGGGTTATTTGAGAGAAATTTGAGATGTGGGGGTTATTAGAGAAAATAATGGTGTTAATTTAAGGGTGTGAATCTCAAATTATAAAACCAGGGGTGGAAACGTTGATTCACCAAACCTTGTGTGGGAAAATGTCGTTTACTCATTTCCAAAACTGCAACCTTCCTGTGAAGAAATTGACAAAACTGTAAATCTTAATTTTTAACATGCTTCAAACAAAAATTAAATCATTCTGCCAAGAATTGTCGATTTGTTTTTCTTTTTAAATTGGTCAAATTATTTTAGTAAATCGGCATTACTCTAAAAATAAAGACAGTTCTACAATATCAACTTTTGAATTAAAAAATCACTAAAAATCAAATTTTTTGTCTTTTCAGTTGAAACTAAATTCTTTATATGACCCTTAAACTAAAGATGTTTACTTTTGATTTTCGAGAATTTCAACTCTGGATTAATTTAAAGTCAAAATTTTTCTTTTATTTCCATAAAAGGTAAAAACGCCCCCATTACACAAAACATTTTAGAAATAACAACCTCTGGGTGCCGAGTGGTTCGATGGGGACTCTTAGGTGTCCAAGTGGTTTGATAAGGACTCTTGGGTGTATTACTCAAGAGGTCATAAGTTTGAATCCCTTCTTGGTTGGTAATAAGGGTGGCTACTGGAGCTTTTACTCAAACAGTAATTCCAAGGTCCTAGGAGATTAGTTGAGGTGTGCGTAAGCTGGCCTCGACATCCATAATCATAAAAAAAAAAACATTTTAGAAATTTCAATTTTAACAACTATCTTAAATTCATAAATTCCTATAAATATGAACTTTGTTAATATTTGTAAATGGTTCTTAACACCAAGGCAAATATGTGTATGAGCAGCACTACACTTACAACTTTTTCATACAACCCTAATGTGGCAGCTCACGATTGGTTAGCTCGTAGTGGGTCCTGTCTACCCAAATGCAAACTAACCAATTGTGAGCTGCCACCTCAGGGTTGTATAAAAAAGTTGTAAACAGGGGTGTAGCCAGAAACTCATTCTAGGGGGGGTCAAGACATTAATTAAACTTAATAATATAATTGTAAATAAACTTATAAAAAAAATATGAGTATTTATTTATAATGCTCTTTATAATTAATATATTTATAATTGTGTTTGACGATATGAAATAAATTTATAATACTTTAACGAGTGAAACAAAACCTAGAAAATTTACTAATGAACAAGTTATTAAGCCAAAACAAATAACAACACCTCCAAATTAAACTATAATAAAATTTATGGTAATAAAATATTCAAAGATTTATCTAGCTTTTATAGTAAAGTATTATAACTTTTGTTGTACTTTCACTTTTATGTTTTGACCCCTTAAAATAATGTATCAAAATATATATTTTCTATATTTATCTTTTTTTTCCTAACTTCAATATTTTCATATGACCCGTCTGTGGATAATCTACATGGTTAGAACGAATTAAGGATAGTGTGGCTATACACACGGTCTCAGGTTTGATTTTCCATCCAAGCATCTGTAATTTAAGTGGGGAGTGTGGATAATAAACAAGTTATTAAGCCAAAACAAATAACAATACCTCCAAATTAAACTATAATAAAATTTATGCTAATAAAATATTCAAAGATTTATCTAGCTTTTATAGTAAAGTATTATAACTTTTGTTGTAATTTCAATTTTATGTTTCGACCCCTTAAAATAATGTATCAAAATATATATTTTTTATATTTATCTTTTTTTTCCTAACTTCAATATTTTGATATGACCTGTCTGTGGATAATCTACATGGTTAGAACGAATTAAGGATAGTGTGGATAGACACACAGTCTCAGGTTTGATTTTCCATTTGAGTATCTGTAATTTAAGTGGGGGGCGTGACTAGGGGTTGTAAGCTAGCTAGCCCTTATATATATATTTTTTAATTTTGATAATTTTTCAAAGTCAAGAAGGTCAACTAACCCTCCATGACCCCTTCCGCCCCAAGTTCCTCCTTGACCCTGGTTATAAGTGTAGTTTTATTGATATGAGTATTTCTAAAACCTTAGGCAGTCATTGCAAGGAGTCCAAAATATTTAAACTAATAAATAACGATGTATATACCAGTACCACAACACCGAACACTATTATATAAATTTATAAAACAATACATATAATTAGGGGGCAAGAAATTAAGTAAAGCATACTCTTAAAAATCTGAAGTGCGGACTTTGTAGTAGCACTAATTTCACAAATTGACATTAAGCAAACATAAAACTTTGAAATTCAAATCAAGAAACTTGAAGCTTGTGGAGTTCATGGAATAATTGAAGAACCTGCCGGAGTTCGGGCTTTAAAACCAGTCGACAAACAAAAGATCCTCTTCAGAAAGGCTTCAAAACTCCGTGGAATCAACCGCCTTGCCTTCTTCCCCAACTGCTTGCAGCCTCTTGTTATTGAAGTTATTATATAGAGAGGGAAATACGATAAAGCAAAGATCCCAACTGGGATAAAAGAGCAGGTGTACAACATGATTTTCGCCCAATGTTCCTTATTTTTAATCATCAGCAAAATCGTTGCTGCAAATGCCACCATCATCAGGCAAACAGAAAGGAACAGAAACGTAAAACCAAGCGTCATTTTATTCGGCAGAGAGTGCTTGAAGTCTTCTAATCTAAAGGGGGATGAGAGAATTGAGAGAAATGTGACCACAGCCGCCAAAGAGAACGTGAGAGAGAGAACGTCTGATATAGTGAAAACAACAAAGAACGGTTGATTGATAAGGACGGGAAAACCAGTATTCTCATTTGATCCTCCTGGTACCGTGTATGCAGCTGCAAATGCGACAGTCGCGATAAGAACTGACACTACTGAGCATCCTTCTGCTGTGTGCTTTAACCATTCTTTGGATGTAACACGAAGTTCATTATTTGCAGCGGCAAATAATCCCTCTGCGGTCAACCCCGAATCATTCCGGTGATTCATAAAATGGGATATGGTCACTTCCTGAACTCGCTGCCATGCAAAAATCGACTTTTAGTTCCATTAGGAAAATAAGCAAATTTCAATTACTTTCTTCTGGAGAGGACAATATTAGGTATGTAAGACCCGATCCTCGAAAATCAAACCCAAGCTATACCCAAGTCGGGCCTGATCTTTCACAGGAAAGCCCAGACCCGGCCCAGCCAGGGCATTGGCAGGAAAGCTGGAGCCCCACCCAAGTTCATAAACTATTCCAGGCTTTCCAGCGACCTTTTATAATATAAAATTACAAACAACCTTTTAAAAAACTATATCCAACCCCCATATATCAAGTAAATTTTAAAAAACTTTTAATTTTTTATTTTGTTATGATCGGGCTTGTTTGGACCAGTTTACATATACCTCAATTAATCTTCTAAGATCTTAGAACTATCAATCAAGTAAGAGTTTTAAGGACTTTCTTTATTAGCAATCGAGGAGGGTCTCAAACTCAATACCTCTGGGATAATATATTCTAAAATTTCTATTAAATCACTTAATCTCAAGAGTCGTTTTTCTTGTTATATCAACCAAAGCCTGGTTTGAAGCGCAGTAAACACAACCCGAACTTATATTTCTTTTAAAAAAACAAAAGTTCAGACAAACCCGGCTGGACCCGGGGTTTTTACATCCTTACTGGATATATTGGGTTTAACAGCAAGCGTACCTCATACCAAAGCAATTCATCCTGCAATACAAAAGCAGGCCCTTCCATCTTTTCAGGCACATAATCTGTTCTTTTTATTCCGGCCATGTGCAATATGGTATTGCCACTGTTGTCAGTCTTTCGTACAAGTCTCCTTATCGGTACTTCCATTTGTCTTACAAGCTCAAAGATCTCTAATTGCCGATACTTAATCGCTACATGCAATATATTTCGTCCTTCATCATCGATATGCTCCATTGCTTGCGGGTATGCATTCAGTATTTCCTTAACAATCTCTATACATCCTGACTTGGTTGCTAGAAACAAAGGAGTCTCCGCACCGTCTCCTCCTCCGGCTCCGGCTTCTCCGCTTCCTTTCTCAGCGGCTGAGAGAGTTGGATTGAGTCCATATTTGTGTATTTTAGGCCTACTCTGGTCTTGAATAGAATAAGAATCCTCCCACGTAGTATCTTTTCTAATTAGAAACTTGGCGAGCTCCATTGCCGATTCATATTGTCGCTCCTCCTTTTCCATTAATACTCTCTGCCTCAAGCTACAAGTCCATGTAACTTTTCAAAAAACAAAGTTAACAATTGCATTTGCATACCACCGCTCTTTAACTATAAATATATTTACATCAATGAACATGTGTCTTTAACTATAAAAATGAACAGAGAAGTACTTACAGCAGTTGATGAGTTTCTTGAGAAAATTTTCTTCGCGTTTGCGTTTAAAAGCTTCAGGCTTGCATGAGAGAAGCTGAAGAGGAGTCATCCCGTCCACATCTTGTTCACCAATTAAGGACTTATATTCTTTCGCAATTTGCAAAGCCAATTCTGTAATTGCACGCATTCATTTTGGTTAAAAAGGCAAGAATATTTAAGTTTCGAAATACATATACATTATATCCTTAACAAGAAACCCACCATTTGAAAGGCAAGAATATTTAAGTTTCGAAATACATATACATTATATTCTTACAAGAAACCCACCATTCGAAAATAATATTGGATCTCTTTAAACACAGAAAGAAAGGGGGAAAAGATGTATAAAGTTTAAATAATTTAATGAAATAAATGTCCACAAAAGATCTAAGTCTTTTAAATTAAGGACAACGTTAGTCATTTAGGCTAGGAATCGTGGTTTTGTTTAATTAATTCATATGAAGATGTGGCAGTCAATCTTATTAGCCAGTTATATTCACCCTTTCCTATCCCAATGGTTTAGGCTCCATCTTCTTGGAGAAAAACAACTTCTAAAGAAGATATTGCCTTTAATATATTCACAATTTTATTTCTATCAACGTAGGCTGTACCAGCAGTGTCAAATACTATTTAATCTTATTGTTATCTTGGGTATAAATGTACAAAGTACTATTACACATCGTACAAGAAAATCTCATTCTTACCGTAAGTTATATGTCATCATATTTGAAAGAATAATACTATTTACACAAGCTCTTTGAAATTGTCATTTCCTTCATCAAATAATTAAATTATTTATATGTCAACAATAATTAATACTATAGATCATTCAGAACGAGAATTCAGAATATCTCTTAAGATGTTAAGATGTATAATGTATTTGGGATGTCAACTATATAACTATGTCAACGTGATAGCATTAATTTACAAATTTAATCATTTATAAGAAAGTAATACCATTTATATACGAAATTTAATTATTATTTTTCACTCCAATTGCTTTGTACAAAAGTACTTCTAAAAATTCCCTTGCAGCCCTTATCCATGTAGATAGATGCTTATAGGAGTGATATGCTCTGGAATATATATGCAAAGAAAAATGAATTATGGCTGGAGTGATATCTAGAAGATGAAACTTACCGAAGTGCTGAGAAAGAATGGAAATGTGAAGAACATTGGTTTTATCCGTTCTCTGAAGAAAAGGATGCTTACTAGTTTGATCATAACCCGATACTTTACCAGCAAGAAAGTTGAATATATCAGTCTTCCCATATCGTGCAGCTCGGAACAGTGCAGTCTCTCCATTGGTGTTGCGCATGCCCAGCAACCCTGGCGCTTTCTTCAACACTTTATCCGCTACACGGAGAGCATGATTGCTCGTGGCAGTGTAATGAAGAATCGTGTTTCCTGCATTATTTTGACGGGTCATTTTGTCAAGATAGTGTTCAGGCAACTCATCAAGTAGCCTGAGCACTAAATGCTCTTTCTTCGAATAAGTAGCCATATGTAGTACGGTGTCGTCATGTATTGTTAATATGTGCAATGCATGATCAGGAATTTTTCTGCACAATTCTATCACCTTCTCCTCATCTTCTACAATCATCAGAGCATTATAAAGCTCTGAGTTAACGCGATGCTTTTCATCAACATCTCCGGCGATACAATACATTACTGGCTGGATATTAGAGCTAGATACAGGAGAGAAAATAGTCAATTTTGGGGGTTTAATTTGGTTTCTAGTAGAGTTTGCATATGGCCAAGTGGAATTTAAGAGGTCCCTCTTTTTCTCTTTGCCATCGATTTTTATGATTCTTACAACTCAGTGTGAATGCTAGAGCTGTTAGTGGATGCTTTTCGGAGAGTTTGGAATATATATATATATAATCCTGTTTGGTGAAGGTTGCGTCTTTAAACTTGTTATCTTTTGAAAATTTTAAAAAGCAATATATTCCCCACTAACTTTTGTTAAAGACGATTAACAGCTAATGAATTGTATTCGAACTGAGAATCGTTGTTTACTAAACGACTGGTAATTGTCAGATATTAGTGTGTTAAGGAGCATCTTATTCTCTGCAGTTAAGTATGTAACCACATTAAGTTTCCACAGGCTCCAAACTCCATTTGCCTTTGATACAAAAACACTTGAAACTCGACTGCCTTCTGTTGATACAAAAATCAGCAATATCCAGACGAACCCAGTCGACCAAGATGGGATTGGGTAGGGTGTGCACTTGATTATAAATAATCAGCTTAGAGTGGATTAGAATATCTACAACAGGTTAGATAATAGGTTTTTAAAGTGATTCGACACGTTAGAACTAAGCTTACGTCTACTGTTATCTAATTATTTGAGTTTGGATTACATACAAATTGGGTACCACAGGGGAACTGTGGTAGTGAGCTTATAGTGCCTCACCAAATAGGTTCTTTGCTCAAGTGTGTTTTCCAGGGTTGTGTCATGTTTTCAAAATGGGGGTGATGCCTCCCTTTTATACATGTTGTCGGGTAGTAGTTGACAATTGATAGATTACAGAGAAGATTATGCGTATAATCCCGAGTAATCCGGATTAAGTCAAAGCAATCATGCTTAAAGAGTAATGAGATTATTAGTTAAATCATCTGTTGTGGGAGTGACACGTAGTGATTCTGGTCACTCAATCTTAGAGTAATCTGTAGACGGATGACACAAATCTGACCGTAGGAAAATAATGTACAACACCTTCTTTCCAGTATTCGTGTAATTTTATATTTCCAACTCATTGACTCGTGGGTACATGTATTAGTATATCATCTCTAACCAAATTCACCGAAAACGAAAAGAGCACAAAATTAAGTTGTCTGCTATACTACTGAATTAAGAAATTCTCCAAAGAGAGTTTAATATGGTGCAACCGCTAATGTCATTAAACACTTGTTAGTTTTTGCAGGGGATTGATTACATCTAATAACTTGTAAGCTAATCACATAAACATGTTTTGCGATATAAATATTACAGGAGACTATAAGATCGACCCAGCTAAATCACTCTTGACCCCAGCTTAAGATAATTTGTCTTAATAATCCAAAACCGATAATACTTCCTGATGACTCAGATCAGACTTTTGAGATAGCATAAGAGTAAAATATACAGCTGGCTATGCACTAGCAAAAAGTAAATCATTAATCATGGCCAAAATATACCATCAGACTATCAATTCTAAATTGATTTGAAGAGTTATATCGGGAAGGAAATTTCGCGAAAGATCATGCTGAATTGATAAAAATGTTGATAAAGGATGGATAATAAAGTTGAATGTTGTCCAACAAAGTGGAAACAAGAGATAGTGAAAGCTCTTGCATCTGATTAAGCATCATTTCTTCCATTCAAAGTTGCTGTTGATCTAATAAGTCTGGCAGAAATATTCTGTTGCGGTTGTAGGATTTTACAGTAAGTATTGTGCTTATAATGATCAGCTAGTAAATCCGCATGTTAATTAGTAATATTTGAGGCATGTGTGTTTTGTTTTAGACTATTATAATAATCTTCATATGATTTTTATCTTGCAATATAACTGAAACAATCTAGAATAATACGAAATCAAAACAGAAAACACATAAAAATATTAATCGAGTAAAGAGAAAGAAATGTATGTCTGATTTACCCTGGTTCACCTAATTAACAGGATACATCTAGTAAAGTCAATATTATTGCAATACTGTCACACCTCTCTTGTTACAATAAAAGTAATTTGTCTTATGATTTGCTATCACACTCATACAAGAGAAAAAAATGTTTATATACTAGATTTAAAAAACTAAAACCTAATATATAAGGATTCATATTCTTAAACTCAAACCCAATAATGAATTTAATAACTTAAAGAAATCATTTTGCGGCTCTTCATAGAAAAGGTCCAAACAACCTACGAGCATTTTCCAACAGAGTCTCCGAATGCGTCTGTATGACCCCTTATTGTTAAAGTGGTCGACAACTCCAACAATAACTTGTCGAATATATAAACTTATTGTTTGGTTTCTTCGTCAAGTCCTTTTAATACTATTCTCATATTTGGATTTTTCATGAATCATGATCAAATAATGATAATAATAATAATAGCCATAATAAAAATAATAATTCTGAAGAGTTCTAAACATACATATATCAATGCAGTAAAGACTAAAGAGATATTCAAACCAATACATACATGATAATAAGTTAATTACGTTGAGCTTCTGATGAAAGTAGCCTTTGCGGTGGAGATCAATATGGAATGGAAGAAGGAGTTCGGGATTTGGAGAAACTCCGAGGAATCAACTGTTTTCCCTTGTTGGCTAAGTATTTGCAACCTCTTGTTATTGATGTCACTACATACACAGGAAAATACGATAGAGCAAATATCGCAACTGGGATAAAAGAGCAAGTGTAAAGCACGATTTTCGCCCAACTTTCTTTATTTTTTATCATGAGCAAAATCGTTGCTGCAAATGCTATCATCATCAGGCAAACGGAAAGGAACAGAAACGTGAAGCCCAGAATCATTTTATTAGGAAGAGAGTTCTTGAAGTCTTCTAATCTAAATGGAGATGTAAGAATTGAGAGAAACATAAGCACGGACGCCAAAGAGAATGTTAAAGAGAGAACGTCGGATATGGTAAAAACCACAAAGAAAGGTTCGTTTATGAGGACCGGAAAACCAGTATTCTCGTTTGAACCTCCCGGGACTGTGTATGCAGCGGCGAAGGCCACGGTTGCAATTAGAATTGCCACCACTGAGCACCCTTCTGTTGTGTGCTTTAACCATTCTTTGGATATGAGACGAAGGTCAACATTTGAAGATGCAAATAAGGCTTCTGGAGTGAGCCTCAAACTGTTCTGGTGATTCATAAAATGCGGCACACTCACGTCCTTGACTCGCTGCACAAACACTCAAAATGTTTGATTCTTTTCAGCCAAATCTTAAACATTAAATTTTAATGCATGCTTAATTAATTCAAGTTGTATATACCTGATACCAATGCAATTCGTCCTGCAATACCAGAGCCGGTCCTTCCATCTTTTCGGGTACAAAATCTTTTATTTTCACACCAACCATGTGCAATATTGTGTTTCCATTGTTGTCAATCTTTCGTACTAGTCTTCGCATTGGCACTTCCAGTTGTCTTACAAGCTCAAAGATCTCTAACTGGCGATACTTGATGGCTACATGAAGTATATTTCGTCCTTCATCATCAATATGTTCGACTGCTTGAGGGTATGTTTTAAGTATTTCTTTAACAATCTCTAGACATCCTGACTTTGTTGCTAAAAACAGAGGAGTTTCTGCATCGATATTTCCTGTTGGGCTGACGATATTGGTAGAAGAAGGTTCTATATTAGCACGCCCGTATTTGTGTATCTTAGGCCTACTCTGATCTTGGATAGAATAAGTAAGCTCCCACGAGGTGTCTCTTTTAATCAAAAAATTGGCAAGCTCAATAGCTGATTGATATTGGTGCTTTTCCTGTTGAATATCTTGTCTCCAACTCAAAATGCAACTAAATTTAACTTATCAAAAAAAAAAAAAGCCAAAAGAAGTTACTAATTAGTAATCCATGAATAGACATGATTACAACAATTTTCTAAGACCAGAATCTTTAGTTCTTGTGAATAAGATTCCATTACCATAATTGACGATTTTCTCGAGAAATCCATCTTCACGTTTGCGATGAAAAGCTTCTGGCTTGCATGAGAGAAGCTGAAGACTAGTCATCCCATCCACATCTTGCTCGCCGATTAGAAACTTATATTCCTTTGCAATTTGCAGGGCCAAACCTTTCATTAACACAACAATCGTGAAATTAAGATTGGATTACAATCTCATAAAACACGTCTCCAATATCATATTTAACCAAATTAATGGCAAAAAAGAGCTTACCAAAGTGTTGAGAAAGAATAGCAATGTGAAGAACAGTGGTTTTATCTGTCCTCTGAAAAAACGGCAGCTTACTGGCTTGATCATAATTACAGATTTTCCCAGCAAGAAAATTGAAAATGTCAGCTTTCCCATAACGCGCAGCACGAAAGAGAGCTGTCTCGCCATTGTTGTTACGTATGCATAACAACCCGGGAGCTCTCTTCAACACTTTTTCGGCAACAGGGAGAGCATGGTTGCTCGTTGCAGTCTCGTGAAGGATTGTGTTTCCAGCTTTATTTTGCCGGGTCATTTTATCAAGATACTGGTCAGGCAACTCTTCAAGTAGCTTCACCACTAAATCACTTTTTTTTGAATAAGTTGCCATATGCAGTAATGAATCATCATGGACTGTCAATATGTGCAACGCATGATCGGGAATCTTTCTGCAGAGATCAATCACCCTCTTCTCGTCCTCCTGGATCATCAGAGCATTGTAAAGCTCTGAGTTAATAAAATTTTTAACTTCAATACCGTCTATGGTAGAACCCATCAATGGCAGCAACCGAGAAAATTAAGGTTGATAGTCTGTTTCTTGGTAAATTCTCTATATCCTGCGTGTATATAAATTCATGGCCTGCAGTTTCTTGAAAATTCTGCCATTGTTTTTGGTGTGATTTTACAATTCAGGTGAATGTTGATGCTAGTTGTTAGAGGCTGTCTTTCCACAAAGTCAGGAATAAGTAAAACATAATCTTGCTTTGCAGATCGGGTGGAGTACTGTTTAACTTGTCTTTACAAAAGAACTTTATATTCCCCCACTAATTTTGCAGGAAGAACAATTAAAAGTAGTTTATAATTGATAAATTAAAATTTGGAGAATTGGATAAAGAATTAATTGTTGGTTTATGCTCGCATAGTTTTAAGGTTAAAGCAGCATCTTATTCTTTGTTTTTAGTAGCCATGAATGTAAAGTTCATTGGTTCCGGATTCTAAATTTCTAATCCTTTTCAATATGTAACACATGCAGAGTGGCTTCTTCCAGGAAAAAACTTGAGACTTTGTACACTCCTAGAAGAGAAAAATATTGATAAAAAATTTTATATTAATGAGCTGACATGATTTGGCAGAAGCATGAACAATCTCCTGGAACGAGATCATTCTGTGTGGAACCTTCATCTGGGTAGTTTATGAAACTAGGAATGATTGTTCCTTCTTGTATGATCATACCATTTGGAAAACTGTATTTTTGTTTTTGTTATGACTCTTGTCATACCTTTACATGTTTGTTAGATTTCAATTAACTTTTTGATTAATTTTGGCACGTTAAAACACCTCAGGGCTTAATAAGTAGAGGGCTTAATAAGTAGTATCTTTTTGAGTTTAGTAATGAAAATTTAATTGCTATGAATTTTGAGAAAGTAGAGAAAGTGTGACTTGCTCTACTTATTGAAGGATCGATGATCCCTCTAACGATGTGTTGATTGGATCAGATTGTTTGGACAATGAGAAAGTAGAGAGAAAATACAATTAGGAGGAAACTCGGTGAGAGAAAATTAGTTAATGCTTTTGCACTTTCACAGTTTATCATAAGTTACACTATTATTGTACAAAGTATTGCTCAGTTTCCTTATGCTCAATTAGGGTAACCGTGGGCCGAAATGTATAGCCCTACAGAACTGATCCAATCTTTCTTCCAGTCCATTAACAACCCTTAAAAGAAGTTGTCCACTCTTGCGTGTGTGGTCCATTTATTTTGAAGCTTGGCAATGATAGAAAGACGAAAGAATAGTTACAGACGAAAACACATTTATAGTTTCATACACAACTACTTTGAAGTATAGGTAAAACGTGCAAAAGTCTCATCGTTGACTGCCAAGTTCCAATAGTGCGAAAACAACACGAAGAAGAGCTTCTGCCCTACAAGTTATAACCATTGTTTTAAAACCCTGATCGGAGAGTAACCCGTTTTGCTGGTTGGGTCACGAGTCAACCAATCCAACCGATTGGACCGATGATGTCAGCGATAATTTTATTTTTAAAAAATTACATATTAATTCAGATTTTAATATATTACAAAAATTCTCCTTAAAAAGTTTAATTAGTCCCTAAAATTTTTATTTATTTCAAAAATATCCCAAAAAATTACCAATTAATCCTTAAACTTTTGACATATCTCCAAAACACCCTTATAAAATTACAAATTAACTCTTATAATTTTAAAATATTACAAAAAACCCCTAAGACCTGAATCAGACCGGAAAAGCTACCGGGTCCTGATCCGACCGGTCCAGTTTTTAAAACAGAGGTTATAACCACTTGGAGTCCCATTCTTTTTGAAATTGAAGTCATTATCTGTGTGACAAAACAAGCGGCCTCTTAATAGCCTTAACCTTACCCATCGTTATAGTGCCATTATTATTATATGTTATGTTATGGCCCCCTCAGCTTACACATCAACCTTTTAGCATGAAATGGAAATCCCATCCCTACTATCTTAGCTTAGATAATTAATTAAGTTCATAGGTGATGAGACAAGTAATGAAGGGTGGGCCTTTTTCTCACTCTCTACTTTAATTATTATCCAACATTTCTAACCCATTAGGATTACGATTACTTAGCTTAGCTTAGATAATTAATTAAGTTCATAGGTGATGAGACAAGTAATGAGGGGTGGGCCTTTGTTTTTACTCTCTACTTTAATTATTATCCAACATTTCTAACCCATTAGGATTAAGATTACTTATTTTGTCTGTTGCCCCACGACTCAGACATCCTCTTTCTGTTAATTATTTTTTTATAAATTTGGGTTTGTTTGGTACTGTTTATTCGGATAAAATTTATAAAAGTTCAAATTTTAAGTTTTTTCAAATAAATATAAAATAACTTATTTAAAATTCTATAAACACATTTAATATGAAACCAATATTTAAAACTTTAAATAAATTCTTTCTGACCAAAGATACTTTTATATTCAAGTTCACTCTCTTATTTATTTGATCATAGTGTGAGCGTATCATTACCTCAAGTTAATTGATAAGATAATTGCATAATGCTTTCAAATTCATGGAAAAAATGACTCAAACCAAATCAAATCCCATTCCATCTACCCAATTGGGCATTAAGATTATAGTTATTCAAGTGAAACGAATTTATGCAAAGAAAAAAATATTACAAAATCATTCATTTCATATAATTATAATGTTGTAATTCTTCTCTCTTCAATATTTTTTATTGGACAAATTTCAAATCTGATCTTCGAGTGTATACACAATTTTTTTTTTTTTGTTTTTTTTTTTTTTTTTAGATATCAGAAGTATTCGAGCCAGTTTATATGCACCTTAACGAATCTTTAAGACTCATTGAATACCTTATAAACCTAATGTTTCAAAATAAGCCATAAATATAGTACGTGACCTTTAGGTGGTTTGAACCCAAAAGTCAATGAAATAAGCAAATCTTATTAACTGTCAGGTCAACTCTTTGGAGTTTAAAAAAAAAAATAAACATCAATTTGCGTGTATCTCAACTAATTTATAATATCTATTAAACATCCTATAAACCCAATAATATAAAATAAGTCATAATATGATAGGTAATTCCAAAGTTTGTACACATTTGTTTTAGATAAAGACAGCAAATATCTTACAAACTCTTCAAGTTAGCATAAATAGTGTAAGATTAGCAACTTGAATTCCATTTTGGGGAAGATCAAAAAAAGACTAAACGTAAACGCAGAGCGTAAACAATAATACAAGCACTATTTGTCATTTACACGCAAAGGGAAAGTAAGATGCAGACCTGCTACTTTTTTTTTCAAACCAATCACTTTCTAATTCCTAATTTGATTTCGTATAATGTTATAAGTAGTAACCTCTTCAGTTCTATTAATCTTTCTTTAAAAAGATCGTGGTCCACTAACTAAAAAGAAACCAATCACTTAATAAAACCCTTTTATTAATTTTTCATCTTTTACTTTCCCATTTTTAATTAACGCCCGCCATTGTCATTTAACTTTCTTTTCTAATCAACACAAAGGACCCGTAATTATCTCTTCGAGTGATTCGATAAAAACTTTTAGATGTATTACTGAAGAGATTCTGAATTTGAGTTCTTCCTCAATTGATTACTAATAGAGGTAGTTGTTTGAGCTCTTATCCGACCAATAATTCTAAAGTCTTAGAAGATTAATTGAAGTATACATAAACTGACATAAATATCTATAATTATAATAAAAAACAATGAGAAACACGATAGGCAATAGGTTTAACATATGTCAATATTAAATTTAAAAGTATTTTTGGTTTAAGAATACTTTTTTTCTTGTTATAATTATTTTTATATTATAGAATTTTTTTTTTTTTTAATGTGGGAAAGAGTCGTAACAATGATTGCTAACGCTAATATTTAAAATCCCAAATGTCCAAAATTATGTGAATTGAAAAAATTAGAGGCATATATTTAATCTACATAAACAAAAATATTGTTATCTATTTATAAACATTTTGTATAATTTTATACTACAAAAAATATCTTGAGTAGATCTTGTAAAAATAAGCACAATGATGTTATCCATTATTTAAAATTTGTTATTAATAATATAGATTATGATCATCTTTATATATTATTTATTCTTCTTCTTCTTCTTCAGTTGGTGCATCTTATTTATTTATTTCTGACTTGTCTATTAAAAAATCAATCAGGATAGAACAAAATCGTAATAATTAAGCATAAATTAACTATAACCAATGGGTATTAAAATAATATTTTAATACGATCTACATTATTGAAGGTATGTATTATTATTCTATAATCTCTTTGGAAACAGGGCATATTAATTAATCCATGGTGTCAACATAAAGGAGTTTTCGAAAGTCACACCCACACGCCCCTTTTGGTACCACGATATGGTTCTAAAACCAACGAGATAATTACTGTTAAACCACGTGATTAGTGTTGGATTAAACAAGTAAATTTGCTTTATTAATGGGTGCTTAACAATAACCAAACCACCACTAGATTAGAGGTCAATAAATATAAATTAAAATATCAGACAATGCCAGTCCAACTATTCCTTTATATCAATCATAAATTATCACTCATTCTTTCAAATTAAACAATACTAATTTTATGAAGATGTATAAATTAGTGATAGACTCTTCTTTGATTTTTTGTTTAAATGAGTTGCTATATTAATATCAATCATTACGATTGAATCGGACAATAAAATCTATATTACACATATTTTTTAGCTTTTGAATTTGATGATAAATACATACATCTGTTATATTTTCTAATATCAGTAAAATCTACGGTTGAATCGGACGATAAAATCTTCATTATATGTATTTTTTTGCTTTTGAATTTGATGATAAATACAGACATCTCTTATATTATCCAATATTCTTATAAATTTGGTATGGGTTGATCTGAGGGTCAAGAAAGTTTGTTTATTTCATTGACTTCTTGGGTTCAAACCACTTTCGGATTACCTACCATATTTATGGCTTACCTGAAATATTGAGTTTGTAGAGTATTCAATGGACTTCAAAAATTGGTTAAGATGCGCATAAACCGATCTGAACACCTTAATTATTAAAAAAAAAAAAAAAATGGGTACATATCTATTGTTAGTTGCTAACTTGGCATTATGAAATGGATTAATATGATGCCACGTTGTTACTGTCTTATTTTGTTTAAATAAAGTTGATATGTTAGTCTAAATCAATAATGGGGAGTCGATGGAGCATAAAAAAGTAGATATAAAAGGAATAAATAAATTAAATCTAACTTTTGAATATGGAGAACATTATAATGACACATAAACACCTTGAGATGTCATTTTTTAAACAGCATCATAGACTACACCACCTATTTTTATTCTTTTGTTAGCCACCAATATACCCCATTAACTTAGAATCACACTCTCATTATCACTATTTTTTTAACACCTTTTTCACTACTATTTTGACTACCAAAATTTCGAATATTTTAAAGGAATAAACCTAAAAATATCCTCAATTTCCCAATAATTAATATGAAAAATAATTTAATAATTTTAAATATCTGTTTGGACAATTAAGTCACAATAATTCTCCCCATAGGCCATAGTTAAAAAACGTTAAAAAAATATCAATTTCTCGCAACGCGATATTTCAGATAATAGACGATAATTAGATGATATTATCAAGTGTCGCATTTGATGGGACAGCAGCAGAGGAGTGGGCAGTACCAGCTGGCTATGAGAGCGCTACAACCGATGTGGGTCCCACTTCACGTGCCATCACGCCCTTCCATTAGACTAAGCGATATCCAGCCACGTGGCATGGTTAACAATGAACTTGAACACGTGTCGAAATCATTGATCGCTTCAACAGAACCACTTTGTATCTTTTCGTAGAACCAGCCAACCAGGTCAGGTGACCCCCTCTCTCTCTCTCTTAAATCTTTAAATCCAAGTCACGACAAATGTGTAACTGGCAGTACAAAATTATTCTCGTAAGAGACAAATTCGTCTTCCCAAATTACCCCCCCTCTGTCATCTTTGTCCACTAGCTAGCGTTACAGTTTGATTGCTCATTGGCACGCGTCATTCTTCCACGCTGTTTCAATAACGCCGTTTACTATTATTTGCTTTTTTCAACTGCGATTATGGTGGAATTTATACAGTTTTCAGTTAATTGGACGCAGCAATTTTACAATCTTAAACTAATTTCTAGGATAAAATATAGTTCCCCTAATATTAATTAAAATCAATATTGATTTCAATCAATGTTGATTTCAATTATTTGATTTGATTTGTCATTCCCGTAGTATGGATGCGTATCACTGGATAACTGGAAAATCCTACGTGGCCTGCCCACTGAAATTGCAGGGTGTCTTGGTAATTTCAACGGGAAATCAAGTTACAGAGAGAGAAAACAGAGAGCCTTATCCATTTTGTAACCTAACCTTTATAAAAGCAGATCAACTCATTCACATTTTTGAAACCAAACTCAAAATCTAACCAATAAAAAACACTCACACAAAAGCAAAGAGAGGAAGAAGAAGAAAAAACTGAGAGAAGAAGGGAAGAGAGAACCCTAATGGCAACAGGCAAGAGTTACTATCCCCGACGACCCAGCTATCGATTCCTCCCCAGTGACTCACCTCATTTAGGGACGGCAAACGAGTCGTCGTCATTCGAACTCGACGAGTCTGACTTCTACAACAATTCGGACCCCTCAACCGAGTTCCCCTGCAAACCCACCGTTTCTAGTTCCCGGATGAGCAAAAAAGCAACCAAGCGTTCCGATTCTACGGGTGGGACCCCCTCTTCGCTGCCGGTTAACATACCTGACTGGTCCAAGATATTGAAGGATGAGTACAGGGACAACCGGCGGGCGGATAGCGACGACGATGACTTGAACGGCGAGGGAAGCGTGAGGGTTCCACCGCACGAGTTTTTGGCGAGGCAGATGGCCAGGACGAGAATCGTTTCGTTTTCGGTTCACGAAGGTGTGGGGAGGACTTTGAAAGGAGGCGATCTAACGAGGGTACGAAATGCAATTTGGGAAAAAACTGGGTTCCAAGATTGAAAAAAAAAAAACCATCAAATCCTTCAAAAAAAAGGACTTGAGTGAGGAGTTATAGTGAAATGATTTATTACATGATCTTTATTTTTGTTTTTTAAGTAGTTTTTTTTTTTTTGCCTTTTTTTGGGGGGACGGATCAATTTTCTGCCTGTAATCTTCTAACTGGGAGTTTGTATCCAAAATTTTAGAGGGAATTTAATTGTTTTAAATTTTTGTTACTCATTATTAATTATTTTTATTATTGTTCTTGTTAGACGGAAGTTCCTAAAATTAAAACAGAACAGGGGCAATTAAGGGATATAAAATTAAAGAGGGCTGTTGAGGTCAATAATTGGTGGGGGTTTGGGGTTGATGTGGGTGGGGTTGGTAAGAAAAGCAGAGGGTGCAATCAGTGTTAGCTCATGATAATGACACTTACAAATGGTTCACATCGTACAATAGTCAAATCTACCCTTTGTTTCGGCTTTGAGCATTGGCACTTCCTCGCGTAAACTTTGCTTTTGCCTTCTGGGTTCACTTTGCTAAGACTACGTAAAAAAGACTGAAATGAAAGCGTTTTCTTTGTTTTCAGGAAACATTTTTCGAAAAAACCACGTTGAACAAACCCCTTGAAATGTATTGGATAAGGCCTAGGGTGGGAGCCAGGAAGGTTCGAGTATTAATTATTTAAGTAAAAGCATTTAATTATCCAGTTCATGTCAGATTAATTAATGCTACAACCTTTTTTTAAAACTAATCGACATTTGGATGAAATATCTAAACCTCGGATCTGGTAAGAAATAGATAATGATCTTGATTTAATTATTAGCTGATTATTATTATTATTATTATTATTATTATACGTAAACTCGGTTATTGGAACTCTTCATGTGAATTGCAAGAAGACAATGCCCTCGTGCTGCTGCTGTATTTGGTAGCTGAGACTGGGGGGGAATGTAATATCTTAATTGAATTAATTAGCAAAGTAATACAATCGTTAGAATAAGCCAAATGATTAACGTGACAAGTTTAATTTAATTAACCCAATATTTCTCCTGCTGTGGGTCCCATTAATAGACTGCCAAATACTGATTTGAGAGGAATTTTTCAACACTTGCAATTGAAAAAAGTTCTTATTGCGTTTTGTTTATCATAAATATAATCATATATAATAATGTCGTTATTTTTTATGATATACAAATTAATTGAATAATGTTTAATACGTCCAATTATTACCTTTAAGTTATCCTCTATTTTTTTTTTTTTTTTTTTTCAAAAAATTATATGTTGGCAATGGGATGTAATATATACCTGGATAAGACTAGAGACTTTTAGACAAAAATGGATAACCTTGACCAACATTTTTGTAACTAATTGTTTCAATTTATCCCATAATTATGGAATATGATTTACATATTTAGTCTTACTTATTTAAATAAATTAATACTCATCTTAAGTTCATAATTAATACATTTACTTATATACTTATTTACAAATAAATGGTTTGTATTAGAAAGAGAAATTATTTTTAAGCATTAATTATATCTGGACGATCGAGTGATTCAATAGAGATTTTTAAATGTTATTCCAGAGTTTATGAATTCGAATCCCTTCTCGGATGTTAAGAGTAAGGTCGATAGTTCTAGAATCTCGAAAGAGATCATAAATTAAAAAAAAAAAAAAAATTGGTATTGAGTCTTTTTTTCATTCCAGTGACAACTCCTACAATTTTAAGTAATATTTGAATGTTGAGTTGATCCTTTTACTTAATTGGGTAATGTAATGAATGTCGTCATATGAGAAGTAACTTTTAAAGGAAAATGACGCATGAATAATTTTATAAATTTAAAAAAAAAAGATAAACACCCAATGGACATTAGTTGTTTCAATATGGGACAAAAGCAAAGAGTCATTCCAGGCCACAAAAATAAAAAATAATATGTAACGCCGGTCTTTCACAAGCAAAAGTTACAAAACTTGCAGCCGTTTCTTTTTGACAGATTGGAATGTTTCGCACCGTTAGATTTTATTTTTTCATGGGACCCAGATGATAGTGACGTTTAGTTGAACATTTTATTATCTACCAATACCATTACCAAGTTGTGGCGTTTTGTTTACGTTCACCTGTCGTTTTCATCGTCCTGTCTTTTTCGAACTTAATGGCGACATGGGAATATGTAAATGAAACTCCGCCGAGTGATGGTGTCGACACTATGGTGTCACCACTGGTCACATGGACTTTTTGTGAAGCTATGTTATGTGACGCAAAGAAAAATAAAACACAATAAAAGTTGTGGGTCGGGTTACTACAATCATCAATAGTAGTACATCAAATTTATATATTGAAAATCTTGAATTATATTTAGCTTATTATTTTTATCTAAATTCTGGATCTTATTCTCCAAATAATGTTTGACATATTATTCCAAGAATATTATCTTATTTTTGTAATTACTTTTAGACCCCATAATGTTATTAATTTCATTAAATACGCCATAAAAAAAAGTTTAAAAATTATCAAAAATACCCCCGTAACCCATACTCGTCAGATTCCGACAACCACCGTTGGTGGTAGCCGAAATCTATACAACGACCAATCTGCCAACCATAAATGGCTAGAAGTTCACCGATCTGACCTTTTCCGGCCAGATCTACCACGGATCTTGCCGGAAAATGCCAGATCTGGCCGTGAACGACAGCCAAAGAAATGGCAGTCGTTGACCGAAAACGACAGCCAAAGAAATGGCCGTCGTTGACCGAAAACGACAGCCATATCTTTGGCCTTTTCCGATCGTCGACGGCCACGGCAGGCCGTAGATCTAGCCTTTTTCGGCCAGATCCGTGGTAGATCTAGCTGGAAAAGGCCATAACGACGAGTTACGATATAGATCCGACCGGTCTGTGTCGTAACACGATTTTCTGGCCAGATTCCGACGGTGGTGGCCAGAATCTGGCACTGTAAGTGGTGGGGGTATTTTTGTCAATTTACATATTGGGGTATTTATGAAATTAGCAAACTTATGGGGTTTTTTTATAAATTTTTAAATTTTACCTCGTAATACTCCTATATTCAATTATCCAATACTATCCCCAAAATCCTATCCAAAATAATAAACCAAACGCACCCTTGAACATTTATTAATATTAAGTTAAATTTAATAAACGGTCAGGATTTTGCTATGTCATTCGGTGTACTACCATCGGTGACTGTATTATTTTCCTATTAAAAAATTGAAAATAGTGGCCTTGCCTAATAATAGATAATGTTGAATATGGTGTTGTTGATGTATACTGTATACTTCTCTTAGTTTTGACAAATTATTTATTTAAGGCGACTAATTTTGGACCCCTTCACGGTAAGCCCAATGTTTAATTTGGTTTAAAATTAGTTTACTAATATTTGGGCCTGAATTAGCTTAGATTTTGGTAAGCCCAAATGAGATCAGGGCTCCGTTTGGTTCCCTTTTGGGAATACTACTATTAGTATTCCCAATAAAATTAAACAGTAAAATTACAAAAACTCACAATATTATTTAACTTTTTTTAAACCCCTTAAATTTGTTAATTTAATTAAATATCCCTAAATATTTTTATAATTTACAAAAACACCCCAGCAACCCACATTTACCAGATTCCGGCCACCACTGCCGGAAGATGGCCAGAATCTGGTAAAACGGCACACTACCAGCTGAATCTGGCCGGAAAATGCCAGATCTAAGGCCAAACATCTGGTCGTAGCTAGTCGTCAACGACGACCAACATATGGTTGTCGTTGACCATCAACGACGACTATATGTTGGCCGTCATTGATGAGTAAATGCGGCCAGGTCTGGTCGTCAATGGCTAGATCTGACATTTTTTGGCCAGATCCACGAAAAAGGCCATATCGGTGCACGACAGACAAGATCTAGCCGGTCATAGGCCGATATGACCACTCCGGCCACCCTCCGCTTGTCCATATTTTTTGAATGGGTTTGGGTGTTTTTGTTAAACTTTAATGTTTTATTATAGGGGTGTTTAATAAATAAATAAATATAGGGGGTACTTTTATTAACTTTCAAATCCTACATCGTAATACCCGCCCAATTCAACTTTTTTTAACTTTTTTCACAAAATTTTTCTAAAAAGTGTAAAAAAGTGAACCAAACGGAGCCTAGATTTCTATTATATATTTTCTGTAATAATTAAAAACCTTAGGTGTGAAGATAGAGAGAAGAGTGAGTTGCCAATATTGTTTATCTTTTGTATTCTGCAGTTTTCTGATACTCAATAAAATCGTTCTGTTTAAATGTTGGACGTAGGTTCTTGAAAAATGAACGAACCCGAGTAAATCATTGTGTTCAGTTATTATTCTATGTTTTTCTTATGACGCGTTTAGCTTTCGGAGTTCACAAATTTCCCTTTACTACTTTTATTTCACGCGAAGATTTAATTTACACAATTTCTATTAATTGAAAACGTGGATTCATGTATCATTCATCAATCACATGGTTACCAGATTTGGTAGAAGTGGTACCAAGTGATAGGTGAAAATATTTGCCAAATGTAGCATAACATTTGAAGATGATTGTGTAATACGAAATGGATAAACTAGAATGTTGGTGAAAGTACAAGAAGTTGGGCCAAGGGAGAATATTCTAACGTATGTATTTATTCTCTTATGGAAAAGTATTCATAATATATCTATTCTTTGGATAATCATCAAACCCGGATGGCTTTGGATAATGCATGCATGGCTTTGGCATGGGTGGGGAATCACTGCCTTTTTTTTTACAAGGAAACAACACAATTCTTTAGCTCCTAAGTTTGACAACGATGGCTTCTGCATTATAAAATTGTCCTCATGATTCTCATCTTTTGCCAACTTCTCATCGAGTCTTAAAGCCACTAGGAACATGGCTATGGCTAGGGATGAGCATGAGTAAAGGATAGAACCAAAATTGGCCTTATTAGGATCTGGTTTTAGTTTTGAAAAATTGGAATCAGGACTTCTCGAGTCTGGTTCTGATTCCAACAGTGTTGGAATCGGGAATCGGAACCAAGGTCTAGGTATTTGG